CGACATTGATGTCATTTATTTTGAGAGGTTTCATGGGTAGACCTAGTGGGGGGTAGTTTATGAACTAGTGCCTTATACTGTCATGCTATTATACAAAGTTGTGTGTTGTGGGCAAGTGCTAGTTGCCGTCGATGCTACCTTATTAACGAGTAAGTGTGGGCGGGCACTAGGCACTGTCATTGCCACCACACATTTGAGTACATCGTGGGCAGGTTCTGGTCGCTATTCATACTGCCATGTCGTCTTTATTAATTACCCTAATTTGATACGTGATTATTTTGGAGTTCCTTTGGTGGTTGTTTTTGGATCGGTATGATGGTTCGTCAAGAGGGATGCTTTCGATTGTTGTCTTCTGTTCCCTAGTCTGACTTTGGGTTTTGTGTGTAAGTCTTAACTTGTTGTGTGGCCATGTGGTCACTTTCCTTTTGAGAGGTTGTCCTGTCGTAAGCACGTGGGTGCGAATAACATTGGTTTATACGTTGTCTTTCAATTTTGGGATTGCTTTTGTAGTATGTTGTGTGGGATACTCGGAGATGTACTCCATAGATATCCTGGTTCTGCCTTTTGTTTTATTGGGGCAGGATTTTAGGGACGAAATCCCTTTAAGGTGGGAAGGTTATAATGACCCGGTCATTTTCCTTCATTTCTTTTTCTCAGATTTTCACGGATATTTTTTCCGTTGATCTTTTCTTTTCTGAGTCCGGTTTCTCGTCACTTAGCGTCATCTTGAGTGCTCAAGGATGGTTTCCGAGACTCTATTCCTTGGATTGACGACTTCCTTTGAGGACCGAATCATTTTCACATTTTCACTTTTGTGACATTATTCACTTTTCGTCTTGTTCCCGTTTGTTACCTTGTTGGCACAACCTCACTTTTCGTGTTCGGATTTGATTCCGGTTTTGCATGCATCCACGATATTTAAATTCCATGCTATGTGTATTTTTACTTTTGTAGAAAAGTATGCTAGTTGTGTACTTTCTTCCTTAGGGGTGTGGATGCACACTTCTTTGGAATTTTTCTTTCTTTTGGGGTCATTTATGTAATTACTATAAGTAATTATTTTTCGTCTTAGGGACCATTTTACAATTTAATTTGAAAGATATTTTTAAAAAGGACCTTTTTGTAATTTTTGGAAAGTGTGACAAGTCATTGGTCCACTTGTTGACATTTGTGTGGGGACACTATGATGCCTTGGATGATGACATGTGGAGGGTGGAGATTCAACCACTTGTTGACCTAGGATAGGTGCACTTGTTGGCTTGGATGGTTGACAAGTGTAGGCTTAGGATTAAGCCTACAATAGATGCTTGGATGAGTGATAAGTATATGCTCCAAATTAAGTCTTGCAATTATTTTTGGGCTACTTTGGGATTATGTTGTTAAAGAGGGGTTTTTGTGCAATTGACCAAACTTGTGTGTGTTGACTTTGGTGTAAGACCACATAGTGAGTGGATGATTTCTATTTCCGTCACTCACATTCTATCACACTTGATTTCATTATCTTCCTCTCTTGTAAAGAAAACCCTAGCCTCCATAGATGAAGCTTAAAGCCTTAAGCTTTGACTTTGATTTTTGAGAGCCTTCCATTGATTTCCAAGCTTAACCTTGAGAATACTTTTTGTTTCCCTCATCCTCTACTTCATAACCCTTGAATGATTTGTTATTTTGTGTTGATTTGCCTTAGATTCTAGAGAGACACTTCTCTAATAAGGTAGGGGGTGTTATGGTTTATTATCTAAGTGATTTACTTGCTTTTGTAGTGATATATAAGTTATATGTATGTCTTTTATTAATTTGAGAAATTAATGATTTATCATAACTTACATATAACTCATTTTAGACTTGGTATATGACATAGCTATGAATCTTTGTTATATATTAAATTAGGATGATTTAAATGAGTTTTCAAATCTAAAGATTTAATGAATTTAATTTGATTTAAATTATGCTTAATTGTATTTTGCTTGTATTTCATTTTAGACTTGATATATAGTATGACCATAACTTAGTGCTTGTTATATATTAATTTGGGATCATTTGAATAACTTTTGAAATCTAAAGATTTGATTTGATTAATTTAAATTAATTAAATTCTACATGATGTTATCTTGCTAATTTTGCACTTTTGATTTGATATATGTAATGACCATACTATGTTGTTTAACATATATTAATTTGAGATTATTTAGAATTGATTTGAAATCTAGAGAATTTAACTATTTTTGTTTAATTAAATTCTATCTAATTGTTTCATGGATTTAATTACATCGTATAAGTTGTTTCTATGTTTAAATCATAGATTTTGGACTTGTTGTGTATTCACTTGGTTGTGTTTTAAGTATTGAATAACATTATTGTTAAATTTATATTCATGAGAACTTGTTTCCAATATTGAATATATGATTGACTTGTGTAATGAATTGAATACTTTGTATTTGACATTATATATGCCATTTTAGAATTGAAACTCTAAGGTATGGATTGTGTGGTTTCAACCTACTTGTGCATGGAAGGTGATTTTGTGCATTATTTAAATTATGTATAAGTTGTGAACTTATTTGTTTATTTTGGACTCACTTGAGACATTGTTACAAATGACATGGCTAGAGTTTGGCTCTAGTACGAGAGATAGAGAGCTCCCTAAATTATAGTGCGCACTAGGGTGGTATTTCCAGCGGGTTAATGCCCAAAATAACCGTAGTTCTTGGCTTTATCCAAGATTTGATGTCCAAGTCTTCCACTATTTGATTTCGCATTCAATTCCAAGTTGACAATCATATTTAATTGTGACTTGTGGTTTTGGTTATTAACGATTTAATGTTGTTAAGTACATTTGTGCATTATGATTTTTAAGGAATCATCACATGTTTTTAATATTGTTAAGTACATTTGTGCATTATGATTTGTAAGGAATCATTGCATGTCTTTGATATTGTTAAGTACATTTATGTTAAAATGTTCAAATGTAACTTAGGAATGATCTTATAGATTCATTTGGAACATAGACGTTAGGTGGCATGACCCACTCTTGTCGTTTTCGTATTTTAGTTTTTAAGTTGATAACTTTGAAAATCTATATTTTGATGCGTTGTGTTAGAAATTCTAATTATACTAAATTGTTATATTTAGTTGTTTTTGCACTTTAGATTTCAAGTTGATAACTTTGAGAATCTATATCTTGTTACTTTGTATAGTATGTTCTTATATTGTTTGGAATTGCATGAAGGATGTGATTTATGGTAGAAATGATCTAAGGTAACTTAGGATGCTCCCTGAGTCTCACCTTTGACATAGACATTAGGTGGCATGATCCTTTTGAATTGTTTCACCTTAAGGTGATATTCTTATAAAACGTTAGGTCCTTGCATGCTCATCTCCTACAAGTAGCTTTATGTTACTCACCCCAAAGTTACCAGGCATTTTTCAGGTACAGGAATCAAGATTCGAGATTCTTATTATGCTTGGATGATTGTAGACTTGAAGGCTTTAATTCTTGTAAAGGTTGGCTTGAAATGCCACTTGTAACCCTTTTATGTCAAAATGTGTATATTTGATTCTAAACATGTAAGTGTACATAAGTACACTCTTTATAATGTATTTGACATGTATAAGATGAGGCCAGAGGCCAATGATCACCATTTTGTATCCTATGTAATTTTTGACTTCATGAAATATTATGAAAATATTAAAAAATGTCAAGTCATTGCTTCATCATGTTTGCATCGGGTGTAAAAATTCTATTTTGATTCTTTCATAGGATCTCATTAATCATTCATAAAGTGTGACCAAGGGCTAAATGGTAATTTGAAACCATTTTATAATTTTAAGTTTCAAAATTTCCTTTTCATGTGCATTTTCACCCTTTTGGCCATCGGGGGGTCGAATTTTGTATCGGCGGTATTTTTAAGCCGTGGATCATTATAGCGCGTTCTAATAGGTAAGTTACATCTGCGTGTATGATCGTTTCTGGGAAAAACTCTTTCGTTGGTAAAATGAGCCTCCTATGAACTCATTTCACATTTTTGTTAAAAAATCTTACTTGAGGGCATTTTGGGAATTTTCTTTGAAAAATAAATTCTGGTTTTGACTCCGTCACGTACAAAACATGATTTTCGGGGGAGTTTCTTCACGGCATTTTTCTGAAAAATGTCGTCTTGGTGTCGAAAACTGTTTTGCAATCTCATTTTTCTGCTTTTTATACTATTTCTACTGTTGGGTTCAACACTGGGTAAGTTGAACTGGTTCAGAGGGGCTGAACCAGTTCAAGATGTGATTTTGGTCCAGCATGGATGTTCTGTCCATGTTGAACCAATTTAAGGGGGCTGAACCGGTTTAAGTCTTGCAGAACCTTTTTGGAGGTTCAACTTTGGCCTTCTAACTTTGAATTGTCGTAACTTTTTCGTTTTAACTCCGATTTGGTTTGTTCTTGAGTCTAAACTAACCATGTCGAAGGAAGCTTTCCAATGGTATAAATTTCAGTTTCAGATTCTTCTCTTAGCTCAAGATATCCTTGTTTCAGTGAGAGAGTGTTAGATTTAGTTCGAACCAGGATAGGGTTCATTTGGGATTTCACTTCTTTTGGTCTTGGGACTTCATGTGAAATTACCAAAGGATGATTTTTTATTTTATTATTTTTTATTTTTTATATCTCATTTGACTTGTTGGAAGTCAAATTCCTTCATCTTCGGGTAAAATGACCATTTTACCTTTCGTCCTTCTTTAGGTAGGGTTTTGATACCGCATTACAAGAAATTTGGGCTTTAGTGACTGTCCTTTAGGGAAAGTCTTAAAAACAGTCCCTAAAACTTTCTTTTTTAGGCACAGTCTACAAAAACTGTCCCTAAAACCTTATTTTTTGGCACAGTCTATAAAACTATCCCTAAATCCTTCTTGACTATCCCTGAAGCCTTCTTTTTTGATACGGTCTTTACGCATGTCTCTAAAACTTTAAAAACCCCGTCCCCAATTCCACAAAAAATTATGCGGCGCTTCATTCCTTGTTTGGTACGATCAAAATTATAATATATTTAATTATTTTATTTTACAAAATACATCAAACTATGTCATTTAATATATATCATTACATCCAAAATTATAATATCATACCTAAAGTCGATCTTCAGACCACTTCAGTTCTCAACCCACCTCAAGCCCTCTTCCACCCTCACGCCTCTTCCACCCTCGCAGAAGACAGTGGCTAGCTCTTCCACCCTTTTCCACCGTCGCGGAAGACAGAGACTCTTTCACCTTCTTCTAGAAGCAAAGGCCGAATGACCTAATCGTTCCAACAGCTACTCTTAATCATAAGGTACAACATTTTTATTTTTTTACAATGTTAGGGATTATGCCTCTTTCTTCAATTTTCAGAGAACCCTTGTCTTTAATTTGACATTCATATCACTTTGGTTTAATAATCCTCACCATAGTTTTTTTTATGCAAATACATGTTGTAGGGTTTCGAAATTGTAAAAGGCCTAACAATCGAAGGGGTAAATTACAAATGGAGTCGGCTTGTGGTCTGAGTCTGAATTGCTGTGGGAAATACAAGTTTAAGATATAATGAGTTTGACTTGTTATGTGGTTGTTAAAAAACTCGTTATGTGCTTGTTACACTGTGAAATCACTTTGAATTATGGGTTCTATATCTATTTTGTTTGTTGTATTGTGTTCAATTTAGGAAAAAAGTCACATTTATAGAAGCGATTCTTTGTTGCTTATGGCTAATGGTAGTAAATGTACGAATTCAAGTTTGCAAACATGACATTTTAACATTTCATTTTTTTTTCTAATATGAATCTCTCTATACTTGGTTGGAAGTTATGATTGATTCTGAAAATTTTCAGTGGATGTATAAAGCTCCATGTGCAATGTTTTCTTAAAGCCTTTTATTTGTTTAATTTTCTTCTTCTTTAGCTGGAGGATGCACTGGCCTTACTGGGTTATTAACTTTCTTGTATAATTTGGTATATGCTTGCTTGTTTGCTTGATTGGTTTTCTAGCTTGGATTATTCGGGATAGTAATAGTTACACCCTCACATAATTTTGTAGGTCAGTCCCTAGTGTTCCCCAGGTTTTTAAGGGGGTGAAAATTTTGAAACTGAGATTGGATGTGGTAGATGTACAACATGGGGCTTGGGATTGTTCTGGGAAAGTTTCTGAAGGAGGTGATGAATTAAAAGCCATGGCAGCCTGCATTTCTTCCTAAGCCATTTTCTAAGACTCGGGCTTAAATACTATGTATAGAGGTCTTTCATTGATCATATGGATATAGTAGCTCTATCTCCTGATTTTCAAATGTATATATAATTTTAATATAGCATACCAACTAAAAGCATAAATATTAAATTCTTTTCCATGATAAATCAAGTTATAAATGATGATAAAAACCACTATTTCCATCTGATTGGAATTTAAGAAACATAACAATCTCTTTTGATTTTAGCAACGACTAAATATTTAGTTGCTTAAAGAGCAATGCAATCAAATTAAACCAGTTGATAAGAGTTTGTATGTCTTCTGGATAGCGAAGCCCAATGTTCATTGTTTAGTGTATGTAATAAGTAAGCTTTTCAAGACATGGAATGCACTGATTTTGTTAAATTTGTAATCTTATATATCAAATTAAACTCTGAGTTATGTATTTATAAATATGTTTGTTCTTCTTTTGACATTGATGAATTAATTAGTTGGTGTACACATGTAAAATTGACTCCTCAAATACAATGGGATTGCATTAATCTTTCACACTATCTACCTCCTCCTATTAACACCATGAAATGTAAAGTGAAATGGATTTGTGTACTAGATATTTATATAGTGTTTCATTTTACTAGTACTTTGCTTTGTTTCTTATCTTTAGGATCGAAGAGTAACTTCAATAAATATTGAAAGAACTAGTAATTGATTGGAAAGATAGCAATATGATATGAAGCTGAGAAATTTGAGATATGTGTAAATGCGATATTCTGTAGGATAATGCTGAGGATATTTTTTAGAATAATTCTAGACATTTATTTTTTGTTTTAACGTATGGTTTTTATTTATTTATATATATATTAGATTAACATATGAAATCTGAATAGCATCCCAGACTTCAAAATCAGTTTTCAACTGTTGTGGGTTGGTTTGCTGTTCTTGACCGAAGATGTCGACACCCATATATAAGCTAAACCTTCAACTTTCTGCTGCTCTTGGCCACTCAAAATGAATGCCAAGCAGGAATGGATATCTACAACACTAATTTTAAATCCTCTCTTCTCTATCTTGCCTTTTTTTTTTTTGCTAGTGTTGGAAGTCTGATGTTGTAGTAGTAGATGAAACTTTTACAGATATATAGGCCTTTTTCTAAATCTAGTGATAGGATTGTCAGCATCTTTGACATGTTAATTTCAGTAGTAGAGAGAAATTTGAATTGATAAATCATTAATGTGTTCACTGACTGTTAATGAGTTTAGAATAATAAAGTGTGTCTAATTATTGTTGTTGATCTAAACATAGTTGCTGATCCCACCAAGCTTTAGGCCGACCTGTGCCCGTTGACGGCCCAGCTTAAGACATGAACTTTTAAATTCCATGAGTGCAGAATGAGCTGAAATGATGGCAGCTTTCAGAATACTAAACAGTGCAAGGAAAGATAATGTTATAATATATATATATATATATTCTGCAAATTTCAAGCACAAGGAACCAAATTATTCAGTTCCTGTATTCTTTTTATTTTTCTTTTTCTTTTTCAGATTTTCCATTTTGTGGGTGAAGCAGTTGTTTTCTAATGGGTAGAAATCATAAATAATATATATATTGTGTTGTTTGTAGTGAATGCTTTTTTGACTAGATTTGGTTTCAACTTTCTTCAGAAGTCTACACTGCAATAGTTGCTGTTTTTCTGGTTCTGTTGTTTCATGGACAATTGCTAGAATATAAACTGATTTGGACAGATTTATAACACTTACAAGAATTGTCTATTAAGGGGTTTTTGGCTGCACAAAATAGATTTTAGTTTGGAATTATAATTATGTGGAATTCGAATTTAATGGGTCCAACTTGCTTCATCATCATCTTTTTTTATTTTATTTTATTTTATTTTATTTTAATTTTCTTACTTTAATTTGTTTTGCTTACCTAAGCTTCTATCTGTTATTTGCAGTCATTTTGGAATAAATAAGCTTTCTGGTGAAATCCCATCCTAGCTTTTTAGCTCAAACATGAAGCTAATGCATTTGTAAGTTTCTTTGAATTGTTTAGTTACAAGATTTATACATTTGAGTCTTTAAGATGCTGTTGCACCTACATTTTTGCATACTTGAGTCTTTAACAACCTCTCGCATTTCAGTGAGCTGTAAGTAGACAAGAAAAAACTCATCAACTTAAGCATTTATACTTGTTTTTTAGGAATTCCACATTATCCTGCATTTTCTTTTTTTGTTTACCAATAGAGCCTTTTAATTATCCACTTTCAGGTACTTGTCCAATAATAAACTGACTGGTCCTGTTCGTAATCTTACTGGCATGAATTCTCTCAATTATGTGCAAGTATAAACCATATTACAAACTACCCGAACAAAATTGGTATATTATCTACTTCTCAAAACCATTTCCTTTTATTTTTTATTTTTATTTTTTCAGTACACTACAATCTTCAAACACAGAAATATGCCCAAGGGATACTAATCTTCCACTGTTATTAGATTGTGTTGTGGGGAGATTGATTACCATTAATAAAATTTCCAGTATGATCTAATTATCATGACTAATAAAAAAAACTGAGATGAATGAAATATCTACCTCTTTTTTTTTGGAAAAAGTATTTTGCTTGCAGAAATAGTTAGATGCCTAAATAATATTCAGTTTTCTAACTTGATATTACAAAAGAACGCTGTCATGAACCTTCACGAGATTTGTTTTATAATTTTGGATTTGAAATAAGTTTGTAAAGTTTTGTGAACATGTTTCCCTTCACCTCAAATCAAGAATAGTCAAATTAGATAGTGACAGGTGATTTTTATTTTTTATTAGACACTGGAAGATGGCTTTGAGTATTTAACAACAGCAAAAAAAAAAGAAGGGGGATTACAAAGTCCCCCTCCTTCGTAGTAAGTTTATGTATTTGGACATTTTGTTTTAATCATTTTTTTTTTTGCCTGTCCATTCTCTAGCTGGTTTGGAGCATGCTAAAAAAAGTGTGACTGAGATGGTTATATGGCCTTTATTATGTCCTGACATTTCCAGTTAACAGATATGGATCTTGTAACAAAACTAGTTTATGATTGAAAGATCCTTATATGTTTTGTTACTGAAAGTAATGGTTAGAAGGATTTAAAAGATTTTGATACTTAACACTTCAGTCTCATTATGAATTTCTGTGATATTATTACAGGTTTCATTTTTTATTTTGTTTAATTTAATTTTTTTCCTAATGAAACAAGGGATTTGGCTCTTTCCACTTGCAGGGTCATTATTTTGGTTCATGTGGAATGGGTGTCTTCGTATCAGATTGGTTTTGTTGTTCTGCTTCTGTCGGCATCTGTTCTTGGTATGTGCCATGGTTCTTTGATCCGCCCTATCTTCTGCTGTTTATCTTCCAGATGTAGGGTGGTGCTCTTTTTCTTTTCTTTTTTTTTTTTTGGCTCCAAGCTGTTATATATATATTTTTTATTGTTGTGCTATATGAGATATTTTTTTTATATTTTTTATTTTAAAAGTATTGATTTGCTTTACCTTTTTAGACAAAACCTGCATCAATGGACCATTTAGGAATAATGTTTCATTTTTTTACTTTCTATTTTTTTTTACTCACCCTTTTGTGAGGCAAAAATTTTGGAGTTCATTGTCAGGTGATATGTGACTGATACCCTGAAATGTGCATTAATCAGTGTAATGTACATAATATTTGTACATTAGCAGCAGTAATAATATCTAGTGTAATGGTTGAGCTAATTCTTTGTAATACGAGAGAGATTTTTTATTTGAAAACCAGTAATTATTGAATTCTTTAACCTTACTCTTTCCTTTTAGATATTTGCACATTGTATTAACTATAGAGATAGTTGGTTACCAAATCTTCAATCAACCAGAAATAGTAAATAAAAAGGGAAAATCCAAAAAATGACTAATAATTGGATAATGTACACAAAATAGGCATTATTTCCATAGTTTAAAATGTTGTATTTGTGTTCCTTCACTATTATACAAGTGGTGGGAGGAATATGGATATGGATTAGAAAAACTCTTGAGAACACTATTTTTCTATATATAATTCCTTCAAATTCATTTTATTAAGAAGGCACGTCAACATAGTGCAAGTTTTATGTTTGATGTTTATCCATAATATCCATTACTTCACATAATCAATGGAGGTGTGGACTTCCCAATGAGAATCTCAATTTAACTTTCAATTATACCCGTAATCTAGAAGCATAGACAACCCCTGAACATCAAGATTAGATAATTGATAATTCTTCCTTTATATTCTTGAGTTTCTTCCTCTTTCTCCCCCTATCTGAGGATAAAAAGCTGGATAGAAAATAAAAAATATATTTAATGGATACTTTCCCGAACCAAAATATAGCAGGACCAGGATCAACTGAAGAAGTTTTACCCAATTTTGATTGGTCTTTATTTTTAAAAAAATTATTCCAAGAGATGGTATAATTTGATACCTATATTCATAGCTTTGTTATTCTAGTGGGCCTTTATTTATTATGTTGTTTTTGAATTGTACGCAGTTGCATCACATCTAGGATTAACTTATCTCAAATAAGTCTCTTGTAGTAACTTGTAATTTTATCATAAAACTAGTTCTAAACAAGAAACAAGATTTAAATTAATTGAAAGAATAAATAGTGATAGGAATAACATATATACTGTTTGAAATAAAAATTGTGGTAAACAAATGCTAATGGGTTTGTGATGTAGGACAGAAAGTGTTGTCATACCAAATTGATATAGAACTAGAATGAAAAAAGGGGATGAGAATGAGAAGATGAGGTCAGGCTAGAAGGTCAGATGAAATATGAGGGGAGTGAAAAGTTAGATTGAAAGAGATAAGTTAGAGAGACTGAGAGATTGAGAATAACAAAAACAAAGAGGGAGAAAGAGATATAGAGAGAATTTGTAAACTCGCGATAAAAATTCATTAAAAAAAATTAAGTTTGAGCATTGTTTTATTAAGATACTTCCCCTCAAACTCATTAAAATATCTTTTTCTTGATGTGATTAGTTTAGCCTTTACTTTTTTCTGGTACAAGTCTTTTTCTCTTTAATTTGTATCTCAATTCTCAATTATCAGACTTAACGTCAATTGCAGGATGAAATGATGCATGGGTCGGACATGGTTTCATGATTCCAAGCTGTCAAAGTGCATCCTAGTTAACATGATTGATACCTAAACAATCAATTGGCAGTTAAATACATTCAATGTATTGATCCTAGTTAGGTAGTACCAAATTATTTGAAAATTCAATAACTAACAAAAAGGTACACAATTTACACACTTGTGCTCACAGTTTGGTGGCCTTAACCCAAGTGTGCTCAACATGTTATATGTTTCTTCATCCCTATTTACTCCTTCCATCCTTTCAACTCCTTCACAATACAAAAGATCATATATATATATATATATATATTAACTTTTAATACCCATTTGCTTTAAGTCACTATAAATTAGGTTTGCGGGGAGCAGATTTTGTTCACTAAATTTCAGATCTATTGAGTATCTCTGGGTAGGTGTTTCATTAAATTTCACATTTACTAGTAATTATTAGTGTTATAAGGGGGATAATCTGCTTTTTTATGCTTCACTAAATTTCAGAATATTTCAATATCTCAAAATTATGAAATACTCATCTAATATCATTCTGTTACAGCCCTATGAATTAGAATTCCTACCTTTGAATATGCGAAATAATAACTTTGTTTTTTCTACGAAACCCAAATTGGTTGTGGAAGTTTCTTTAAATAACACCTGTTGATATTGTTTATTGGCATCTAATAGCTCTATTATATGTTCATTTGTTTGGTTCATGTTATTACTATATATGAGGATTTGTTGTATATTTACATCATTTAAGATTTATAATGCAGAGGGTGAGTTTGCAAACCCACCTGTTTGTAGAAGAAGTTGTGTTGCCCTTTTTGTTGTGCAAGTGAGATATTTTATAAATTTAAAGGTCTGGTTTGTATTATGAATTTCTTTAAGAGGGGAGAATGATGAAATGTTGAGAATATGACATTTTTGTTTCTAGTTTCTACTATCAGATCTTGAATATGTGTAAAGTATTCAAAATGTTTCCTTAAAGTAGATTGCTTTCAGTTAACAAGTGCTTACAATTAATATCAGTTGTCATTTGTCATTGCAGTGTGTCCAAACTCATCCTTCCATTTTGAAAATAAGCATTTCAATAAGCATTTTTTTTTTCTCTCTATTGAGATTAATATTCTAGCTTGCATATGATTTATTCCTATGCCATATTCTTTCAATTTGATAGCGAACTTAAATATTTTGCAGGATGCAATGAAAGAAAAGGCTGCACAAAATTCTCTAAATTCTGATGGTACGAGTCCAACCATAAATGATGTTGAGATAGTGCAAAACCAACTAGGTATAAGGAAGGGATATTGCCGTGGATTCGGACAAGGTTTTAGTTTTTGTTCAGAAAACTGGAGATTTTATGGATCTTGAATATATATATTGTGGGTTTATTTTGTTTTATGACTAGTAATATCTTTTTGAATGTTATTGTAGATCTATTTTGTTTATATTTTGCATGTATCCGGAATGGTTAAACCCACAGAAATCATGTATTAGGGATAGTTTACCCGTCCCAAATACAATAATTATAATTAAAAAAATCATGTATTAGGGATAGTCTATCTGTCCCTAATACAATAATAATAATAATAATAATAATAAATTTATTAGGGACAGTCCATCCGTCCCTAATACAATAATTATAATTTAAAAATAATGTATTAGGGATGGTCTATTCGTCCCTAATACTATAGGTATTGGGGATAGTCTATACCGTTCTTAAAAAGTTTTAGGGACGGTGTTATTTGGGATAGTTTGACTGTCCCTAAAAGTCAAAAGTATTTGTCACGGTCAATTTTGACCGTCCCTAAAGCTCTTTTGGCATGCTACTTTTAATCACGGACCAATTTGACTTTTAGGGACGGATTCCGGGCTTTTAAGGACAGTTTCGACGTCCCTAAAACCCGAATTTCTTGTTGTGACCCTTGTCTTCGTTTTGCTTCTGTTGAGTCTCAAAACTCCTCCAAGGGCCATTCTTGTGTCTTAGGGATAACGTACACCTCTAAAGACTTTGGTTTTATAATTCGCTTCCGCATTTCGGATCCGTTACCGGATCAACGTTTTGGGTCATCACAGGACACGTTGGGTTGTAAAATCCAGGGTCGTCACATTCCTATTATGATTTTCCTTCCTATTTGGTTTAGAATACTACCAATAATCCTATGCAGAAAATTACATTTTCCTATGCATGTCTAGGTCTTTGAAAATTCTATATAAACATTGAAATTCATCTAAGTTGATACGGTTTCTACACTATAACTTCAGAATTCTTACAAGCCTATTAGAGAGATATTTTTACAGAAAATCAAAGTTGATTTTTCTGTCATTCTTTTTAGAACACACACATAACACAAGAGTCAGTTTAGAGTGTTGTTCAAATTCCTGATCATGATCGAAGTATCTACAAACGATCAGAGAAAGCAGATCTAATTATTCTACATCAAATTCAAATCTTGAAGAACAGAGGTGAAGCGATCACACTTTGAAAGGGTCAAAACATTCGAAGAATGTTGTTTGATTTACCAGTAATCCTAGCCTTCTACATAGATCAAGAGTAAGCCTGAGGTCAAGAGCTGTTGTTGGACGGGACGTCGCAAAGCAAGAGGACTGTTAACAATTGGTGTTTGGTAGAGTGATAGTGTGTGAGCCTGAGTCAAAGTCCATTGTACTTTGTTTCAAACATAGTGGATCGGTTTACTTTGGACTGCACAGTCCACAAGGTTTTCTTACTCAAACAGTTGGTCTATTTTACTAATTGGGTTTCCTTGCTAAAAATCCTGGTGTCATCTCTAACTCTATTACTTTACTTTATTTTATCTTGCATGAGATTAATTGATTAATTGCTAAAATAAGTAAAGTTAGAAAGACACAGATCTATTTTTAAAATACAAAGCTTTCTACACAAGTTATCTTCCATTGCACAGCTCACAAATTGGTATGAGAGCCAATCTCTACACATTGAATTGATCTTCATGGAAAGTTTTTTAGTTTTTCAAAAATTTGTTTCATCATGTCTTATGCGTTGAAAAAATGTGGTTATAATCAACGTGGTCCTTTATTTGAAGGAAATAATTATAATTTTTAAAAATCTATGATGAGAGCCTATTTGCAAAGTTTAGGAGGTAAAGTTTGGACTGTAGTTGAAACTGGTTATACACCACCTACAAAAGAAAAAACTGTGGATGGTAAAGTAACTTAAGTTTTGAAGATACTTTTACCTTTATTGCAGTTGAAATTGAGCTTAATAATGCTAATGGAAAAGCCTTATATGCAATTATAAATTTTGTTATTCTATCTGAGTATGTTAGAATTTCTGATTGTAAAACTGCTAAAGCTACTTGAGATATTTTGTAAGTTATTCATGAAGGGACTTCAAAGGTGAAGTTGTCCAAATCCAAATGTTTTATCATAACTTTGGGAACATTGTGATGAAAGAAGATGAATCATTTTCTGATTTTTATTCTAGTCTTCTTGAAATTATTTATGACCTGCGTCACTTAGGCAAAAGAGTTAGTGATAAGACAATCTGTGAGAAAATCTTAAGGTCTATACCTAAAAGATTTCAAATAAGGGTAAAAATTATTACTGAGCACTGGGATTTGTCTATTTCTAAAGTAGATGAAGTTATAGGTTCATTGAAAAATTTTGAGATGCAAAATTTTGATCTAAATCAGAAGGAAAATATTATTGCTTTAAAATCAACACAGGTTAATAATTCTATCGATGAAAATTCTGATGATGATGTTGCTTTTATTTCAAGGCAATTTAATCAGTTTTTGCAAAGACAATAGAGGAGAAGGAATGACAGTGGGGCTAATCCTAAATTTTTTAACAAGGGGTCAAAATTGAGAATAAATGAAATGAAAGTAAAAAAAGTAGAAAAAAAAAAAAAAAAAAACTGAATTCACTTGCTGGAATTGTGGTGGCAAAGGTCACGCAGCGAATATTTGTCCTAGTTTTAAGAAAGATCAAAATGATAGGAATAAAGGAAAAACAATGAAAGTTTCTGTTTCTGAAAATTCTGCTTCCAGTGATAATGAATCTCCTCATGATGATTGCAATGATTTTTCTTATGTTGCTTTTCTAAATAAAGGTCTTCATATTGTTTCTTTGTCTAACTCTGACATTTCAGATGATGAAGCCAATGAAATTCTTGATGAATAGGTTCAAGAGGATGAAGAAAAATTGAAGAATATGTTCGAAGAGACTATTGAAGTCAAATTGGCTGTTAACAAGTTAGCAAAGAAGCTTATTCAAGCAAAAGAAGAGAATGAAAAATCTAAGAAAATAGATTGATGAAGGAAAAAGAAAAACTTTTGAAAGCAATTTAATCATCTTTGATCTTAACAGGAAGATCATCATTCTTGAAGATAAGGTAAGTAATACTAACTCCTTGAAAGAATATCTTGCTCCGAGAATTGAAAATACTGAACTTGAATTGAAAATGACACAGGATAGACTGATAGGTTTTACTGCTGGTCAAGTCAAGTTGAATAAGATGATCTACATGGGTAAGAATGTGAATGATAAAACTGGGTTAGGTTTTGTAAAAGGTTCATCTAGTAGTCAAGGTAAAACAGTTTTTGTGAAACCTATTGATCATATTATGCCAAATCCAAGTTTGGTTGAAGAATTGCATTCAGATATGTCATATGTGCCTAAACTGTTATATTGCACTTTTTGTGGTAAGAATGGACATAACCATCATTCATGCCTTCAAAGAAAAAAGAAAGATTTTTTTAAAATTCATTCTCACGAGATTCATATGTGCCTAAATTGTTGTATTGCACCTTTTGTGATAAGAATGGACATAACCATCATTCATGCCTTTAAAGGAAAAAGAAAGATTTTTCTAAAATTAATTCTCATGAGGTTCATACAAAGAAAAAGGTGCATTCTAAAAGGAAAAAGAATTTTGGTTCACCTAAGAATTATAAAGTTAGAAATTTGCCTTAGAAAGAGGTAAAATCTAAAAAAGCTTTTCAGGAATTGAGAGTAAAAACTGTGTGGATCAAAAAGGATGATTTGATTAATTATGTACCAATTGAGTCCTTGAAACTTGTTTCCAAAAGGACTTTGGGTGCAAAACCTTCACACTAAGTTCTAAGATGATTAGTGATCTTGGAATGTGTTAATTGAAGATTTTTGTTACCATTGGATCGCTTTTTAAGGTTTGGTTAAGGTTTTGAGGCATTAGTCATATTTTTCATGATAATATATGTGAAAATTATTTCAGTGAATTTATGATCTGTCTTTGAATGCAAATTGAGATACATGATGATTTGATAAATATTGATTAGGAGATTTTTAGATTTAAATCTCTTAAGATCATAGTTTTTGTGCACTAGTCCATCTAGAAATTTGATTGAAAATCATTGAATTGTTAACTAGGATATATTGATCACAAAAGCTATACAGTTAGTTAGTTAGTTTGTTTGCTTGTATTATTTTTATTTTTTATTATTATTTTTTTTTTGAGAAGTTCTATTTATATTAAATGATAAAATATGGTTTATATAACAAAAAACACAATGCATAAAAATAGTAAATCCCTTTATTTAGTCATTCAAAGGTAAGTGGTGTAATACCCTGATAATTTAAATGATTTATTGATTGAGATTAATTACTTTTATTTTATTTAAATGATTTGTTTAATTTATTTGGGATTAATTGCCTTTATTTTTTTTAAAATTTTTAAATGATTTGTTTTAGTTAATTGAGTGTTATGATTTAATTGTCTTATTTGTATTAAATTATATTTCGCGATTATATTTGATTGAATTGGTGTGATGTTTTGATTTGTAGAATGCTATGATTGAATTGTTAATTGGTAAAGTGTGTATTTATGCTTGTGTGAATTGATTGTTAATTATTTATAATTATTAGATTTAATTTAATTGTTTTATTTATTTAAGTTAATGGGTTTGGGCTTAAGAGGAGTGAGACCAATGGATATGGTCTTGGGCTTGAATGAAGCCTTGTTGAGTTAATTAATAAGGGCCCATAGTTAATTATAAAGATATTTAAATAATTAACTTCACATAATTATATGTATATAAATATAATTAATTAATAGTTATTATGGAAGGAAATATATATATTTATTAATATAAATATGTGTGTGTGTGTGTGTATGATTTAATTAGTTAAGTATTAGCATGGAAGGAAATGTATATATATATATATATATATATATATATATATATATATAATAGATGTGTATATATAATATTTAAAGATTATTATTTTATTTGGTAGTCATAGTAGGAATATGATTTGGATTTTAATGTGTATAAATATACACATGAGGTTTTATAGTTAAAAGTTTTACACGTTAGAAAAATAAGAGAGACAGAGAGAGAGAAGGAGAAGAGAAGGCTAACAAGAGGATGCTGGATCGGAGAAAGAAGATGGCGGAATTGGAAGAGACAATCAAAGCTTGAAGCGTCAGTTTCGTTTCGAAACCTTCAGGCGAGTTCTTTTCTGTCTTTCCTCTTTGAACTCATAAAGATTTCACCTTGAGTATCAACGCTTTAATTAAATTTATTTGTTTAAAAATCATGGTTAGATCGGAATAATTAAAAATATAAACTATTATATTCGATTTTTAGATTATTGGATTTTAATTGATATGTATAAGTGTTATATATATATATTTTAAAATCAATCTATAGGTGGATTTGTGACTCAAGAGGGTTAATTAGGATTTATTTATTTTCTCGAATTGTTATGTAATTTTTTTGGAATTTTTCTGATATTTTTCTATATTTTTAGGAATTTATTTTCCTATTATTTGTGAGGAAAATAATTATACATATAAATATATATATTTATATACTGTTTATATATATATATATGCAAGAAGGTCTGTGTCGGCGTATTAAACCAAGGTGAATAATCCAGTGTAGTGCGAGTATGGTAAATAGATGTACAAGCTGATCTGGGCCATTAGTTTATTTAATCTTAAGAGGAATGATCCGGTGCATCGCGATACGTGATAATATAGTGCGTATGCGAATCTGAACCATGGATTAAGTCTGGTCAACTGTGGTTTAATCCTACGCAGCGCAAACCATGGGAGTTGGTGCGCCCATAGATCTGGAGCATTGATGGAGGAGAAATAATCCGGTGCGGTTGTGCTCAAAGTAGCGATTGAGTTCAGCTAATTATTTTGCTTGTTTTGTTACTTGAAATTGAAACGGTCATAACTCAGTCGTCTTAAATCAAAATTGGGTCATTATTGAGCTCAAATTTAAGAATTTTTCGTCCTCTTTCTAATGGTACTAATTTCATTATCAGATTTCCATCCCATTGGGAGATATTTACATTTTAGTAAGACAGTGTCAGAAAATTATTTAAACCGAGATGGAGTATTTATGGGAAACTATTTTTGATGATATTTAGTAGCATTTAATTTGCTACTAATATAATAAATTAATAATTGGTTATGGAAGGATTATATATATATATATATATATATATATATATATATTTATTAATTTACATATTTATTTATATATGATTTATTTAATTTATGAGTTGTATGGATAGATGTGTATATATATATATATATAAATTGTTGATATATATGTATATGTGATTTAAAATAATTAAGGATTATTAAGGAAGGATTATACACATATATATTATAATATATGTGTATATATATGTACGTTAATTAAGATTATTAGTGTTATTATTCTTATTTGATATATCTGGACTGGTTATTAAATTAGTGATATGCTTATAATCTGCATGAGATGTCTATGTATGAATTAACTATCGTTGAGTCTAAAATTGTTACATGGATGAATTGTAGGCATGTGTGAGTTGCCAAAGGCTTAAAAAATATTATCTTATTTGTATGAATAAAATATATACATAGGAGGCATGGTTGATTTGCCAATGTATATATAAATATACTTATGGAAGTATGGTTGAATTGCCAATGTATAAATAAAAATACTTAAGGAGGCATGGTTGAGTTGCCAATATATAAATAAATATATTTATAATGGCATGTTTGATTTGTCAAAGCGTAATTAAATTGTTGTATGTTAGATGATTAAAATTTCATCTATGGTTATTGTATATATAGGTTGGATTATGATTTGTTATTCTTAAATTAGAATAATCGAGTATTTATAAGTTAGCGTATTATTTTATATATATTAATAAAATAATATTGGAGAAGGCATGGATGAATTGTCAAAACATAAATCTTTGTTTTATGATTTAAATAAATAAAATAATTCATTAGTGGTTATTGGGTTTTGGATTAAAGGAATTATTCCTTAGATTATGATTTATTATTTAAATGATTAAATAATTATTTAAAATGGAATTAAGGTTAAAAGGTTTTTTTTTTTTTAAAAGAGAAGGAGATTGTGAATTGGTTTAGGCAGGATTATGTTTTAATCTTGGTTTAATGGTTTTGAAAATTAATGAACTTATTAATGGATGTGAAAGTTATATTGTATATAATTATTTATACATATGTGTATTTTTACTAAACTTAAAACTTTATTAGGTTTGGTTTTGATCAGAAATGATCTGCTTATTGGTTTTCAGAGGCTTGGTAGAGAAAGCTTGCTTGTAGGATTTAACCCACGATTTATTTTTTCAGGTTATTAGAAGTTCAAGTCTCAAGGTTGAGGATCCGCAACTGGAGGACTTATCTATTCTTTCTATTTTATTTCAAAGTAGGATATTATTACTTCAGTAATTATTAATGGATTTGTGGATAGTGGATTTTGGTTAAGGGGTCCTTAAGTTACGGAATTACCGAGTTGTAACCATTGGCGAGTTATTAATAGAAATTTTTATTTATTAGTTTTTCTTCAGCGTATTATTTATTCTTTTATTTCATTTTGTACTCTGTGCTTGTTTAAAATACTTTAACTGTTTTGATATTCCTTGGTTTTGTACGCAGATTTGATCAACCCATGTTTCGAAATTAGGGTGTATCACAGTTGGTATCAGTGTGACGACCCTGGATTTTTAAACCCAGTGTGTCCTGTGATGAACCAAAAGATGACCCGATAACGGATCCGAAATGCAGAAGCGAAAGAAGCAAAATGGCCTTAAGAGATGTACATCCTCCCTAAGGCACCAAAGTGACTCCCCATGAAGCCACGGAACTTAGTTGAGCCAACAAATGAAGCAAGAATGTCAACCCGAAAAAAAATGAACTAAGGGCAAAATGGTCATTCCAAACTGAAATGGGTGCCACTGTGTACACCATTGGCAAGACAACAAAAAATGAACGAAGTTAGATTCAAGAATCACCTGATTCTGAGTCCGGACGGAAAAGATATGAATTTAAAACAAAGTGGCTTTTCCCGTTTAAGACATACCACGACACTATCACACTAAAACTGGAATAACTCACACTATAGATAGAGTTTTGATGAGTGGTTGGTACCATTGGAAAGCTAACTTAAAGCTATTGAACTTGGACTCAAGAATGAACTGATTTGGATAAGAAATAAAAGAGATATGGTCTTCCAAAGTTGGAATAAGAAGGCTGTCCAAGAGAAGCTGAGAAGGGGTGGTTCCAGGGAGAATCAGCCGACCAAAATGTAACCATCAGCAGGCTGAAACTCAACCATCGATCGGCCAAACCCCCATGGTCAGCTGACCGAAATGCCTAAAGTCCCAAAATGGCTACTGGAATGGTCTCGAGGGATTCGTCAGTCGACCGATGAAGCTCTATCAGCCGACCGACACACCTGTTGCTGCTATGAAAAGCTACTGCAATGTGTGGAAATGGTGTTTGGTCCATCTCCAAGGTTCTAAATGCTTTCTACATGATCCAAACACGTTTCAAAACATCTCCTAGCCTCATTCAAGCATTTAAAACATGCCAAACCAAAGAGGAACTTAATTGACACCCCAATGCAAGGTTTTTGCATAAAAACTTGTAAAATCGCCCAAAAATAGTTCCAAAGTTGAAACTTAAGAGTTTTATGCAATGTGGAGATGCACGCAAACGAAAAAAAACATTTAGGACGCGTCCCAATGGTCCGCGGCCTCAAAATGACCCCAATGTAAAATATGACATTTCAACGGCCAAAAATGCCTAAAAATGCAATAGATGGAACTAAAATGCAAAACCTAGAATGAAATGGTGTTTGGCCCTTGGCCACACCTCATACATGATCATAGAAACCCTATGAAAGAAACGGAATGAAATTCCCACACCCAATGCAAAAGTTATGAAGCAATGACTTAGCATTTTACAATATTTTTATAAATAACCTTAAAAAAAATGAAAATGTATAGAATACAAAATACATGTCGTTGGCCTCCGGCCTCATCTCATACATATCAAATACATTAAAAATAGTGTACTTATGTACACTTTACATATATGGGATCAAAGAATATAAGTTTTGACATATGAGCTACTAATAGCATTTCATGCTAACATTTTCATTAAAATGATACTTCAAGTCTATGAACTTCCATGGCATAGTGTGCATCCCAAATCAAGGTCCCTGTACCTGAAAAATGTCCCCATTAAGTGGACTACGTAGGTGAGTAACATAAAGCTACTCGTAGGAGCTGAGCATGCATCGACCTAGTATTTTACAATTATATCACCTTAAGGTGAAACATGTTAAAGGGGCTCATGCTACCTAACGTCTATGTCAGAGTGAGACTCAGGGAGCATCTTAAGCTATTTATGCAATTTAAAGTGAACAACGGCATACAAGTATACATGCTCAAGTATACTAAGTAATGTTAAAACATGTTATACAATATACAATCATACATTTCCAAGTATACTAAACCATATTAAGACAAGTCACACAATATCTAAGCATATTACCCAAGTATACATTTTATATGGAAATCTCGTAAATCAAGTATACTAAGCTAAAAGAGATGCGCCTAAAACAAGTACACATGGCACAAGCATACTAAATGAAATTTAAATTCACGGAGCAAGTATACAAGTTCAAGTATACTAAATAGGATTCAAATATCCAAAGCAAGCATCAATTCTCAAGTTACAAGTAATCCATGATTAACAACTTGAAATTAAATGCGAAATCAAATAGTGGAAAGACTAGGACTTGTGGTTGCTAGACCAAGCAAGTATTTTCGAGTAATTACGACCCACAAGGTACCCCCTAGTGCGCACTTATGATTTAGAGGACACTTGTTCACGTACTAGAGCCAAACCCTAGCCATCACATAAATTACGTTCTCACAAGCTTTCCAAAATCAATAAGTTCAAAACTTATACAAAATCAAATGCAAGTTACCACATTCCATGCACAAATAAGGTTGAATCCACATAGTTCATGTCCTAAAATTCAAGTCTAAATAGCATATGACATGTCATGTCCTCAATATGCAATTTATATACAAAGTAAAAATATTTTACAACAATTGAGCCACATTACCATTCTAAGCCACAAGTATCAAATAAGCTTCAATTTAGCAACAAGCTTTCAAGGTAAACAATTGTAATATTCTAATAAGTTATATACCTACACAAGATATATTTAAACAAGCTATTCAAGACAATGATATCACATATTATGCTAAATCCAATTACCATTTTAAGACACCCCAAGTACTAATTCTACATCTAATTAGTAATATGCTCACAAGGTAATTTATTGTACTACACTTCATGAGATTACCATCCTGACATGAAAAGTCTCTAGATTTCCAATAAATTCTAATTAGGCTCATATTAATATATGTAAAGGAACATAACATGGTCTTCACATACATTCAACCCAAAATCAATTTAAGTGACTACAAAACTTAAAATAAAATTAATTAAGTTAATTAATTAATTTTCTCTAGATTTTCAAACAACTCCAAATAACCTCAATTTAACATATGTTAAAGAACTCACCAAGGCCTATTTTAATATTACAATACAAATTAATTTCATGCTTGTTTCAACTATGTAATTTAATCTTTCACAAAAGATAAATATTAAATAAGTTTTGCAATTCTTATTCAAATGCTTCAAATTTAATATATGTTACACAACTCACCAAGGCCTAATTTACTAGCATACCACAATTTAATTCTAAACTATATACCATCATTAGAATTAAATCCTACACAAAGAAAATAAATAAATTAAATTCTAAAAACTTGAATAAGGCATGCTCATAAGTTGTATATGCTTATAAAACAATCAATACAACAATAATATAAACCTAAGATATCCCTATAATACCTCTAATTTTAAAAGGACAGTCCTGGCATTTAATTTAATTATTTAAGTGCGTTTTTACTAAATGATTTGTTTATTTTTTATTGAATTGTGTGTTTTATTTATTTATTTATTTTTATTTAACTGGCATTTTATTTTATTAATTTGTGACTGGTTTAATTATGTGCTTATGTGGCTATTTAAATAAATTATTTTATTTAAATTAACTGTTGTCCGTGATTTGGTTGCTATGTAAATTAGATGTAGGGTTTTTAGTTTTTAATTAATCATATAAGCGATTTAGCCGACTTAGGGTTGGTTTTGTATTAGAATTAGGGTTGTGCTGAAGCCTATAAATACAGTATTATACGTTGGTTTAGGGTTACAAACAAAACCCTATTCACTACGGTGAGACGGAGAGAACTTTGAGAGATTTCCAGAGAGGTTCAAGGATAACTGGATGGAGTGCTTCTAGGTTGAACCAAGAGCACCGAAGGTGTAGAACAGGAGTCTCGAACATGGATGGAAGCTTTAGGGACGGTGGTTTAGAGTTTCAAAACTGAAACTCAAGGCAAGTCATTATTCTATTCCTTCCTTTTACTTCATGTTCTATGCATGCCTAGTTAGACTCCAGGGATTAATTAAGCATTAAAATAGATTAAATTGAAGTTAATATTAATCTTGTAAGCATGTTTGAATCAACTGTTAAATCGTTGCATGAATCTATTTGTGTTGAAAGTTGTTCTCGTTTAAGAATTTGTTTGTATTGGTTTTAATCTTGCTTAACCTTGGTGTATTTGGGATTGGATGCATGCTTATAATTAATTCTAGGACATCAATTGAACCTTGAAATAAGTTATAAAAACTGTACAATGGCTCTGAACTTTGCCGGAGGCGAAGAAGATGAACAGGTTAAGGGATACAGCTCTCAAAGTAGGAGAGCCGGATCACCAAAAGAGGGAGCAGGCTCTACAAAGGGTAGAGCCAGCTCCACATGAGGTGGAGGCGGCTCCACCAAGGGGAGAGCCGGCTCCTTTAGTTTGGGAGGCGGCTCAACCCTCTTTTCTTTGGTTTTTCGTGTTCTGGGTTTGGTTTAGACAGTTGGGGTTGTTTCTAAATGCTTCCAGTTGCTATAAATGAAAAATATTACATGTTATAGACTTGTAAAAACTCTTGGGAAGCATGTGGATGTTAATATGTTGAAGTAGGAAGTAATCTAAGGTTAAACAATAAACCTGTAAGTGGGAAGTTGGATTATACATTGAAACTGCTTACTATTTTTCTAAAGCAATTTGATTGCTTTCGCATGATTTAAAATTGTTAATCATATCTCAGCTATGTTATAAGCATATAGTTATTTATCTAGAAAAATAAATATGCTTGGATGGAATTAATTGATGTTTAAATCTACTGTTTAAATGCATCAGTTATGGTAATGTTTGGAGGAGTTAAATGTGTGGTCTTACTTCATTTAAATTAAAGACTAGAATAGGATTTCTAAATCTTATATTGGATGCATAATTTGTCATACGCATGTTAGACTATATTTATGTTAGTTCTGGAGTATGGTTGATAAGTATCTATTACTATTTTTGTCAACTTGTTAACTGGAGGATTGTATGTACCGGTATGGGACGGTGACATAGTAGGTATGGACTAGTTCAAACACTAAGTCCTACCTAATTTGGATTAAGGTGCG